TATAAATTTTTAGCAAACTGATGTTGTTCACAAAGCTATCTACAAAATGTAAGCTATTGATTAGCTTCAATTATTCAAAAACTTTCTGCAGAACCCTACAACAACAATTGTGAACTATTACCTTAAGTCCAGCAAATAAACAATAAGTAAAACAAATTACAAAAACAAAAAAACAGCACCAAACTCTTAAAGCTGTTTTGGGCAGAAATATTTCAGAGCGGTCACTCTTGGTCCTCAGTGTTCATCCATCTGATTTAGTTTGCAGGTGGAAGTTTCATCTTCATACCTTGAGTATGTGTGTTGGAGCAGCATATTCTCTGACATTTAGAAAGCTAAGAATGAGCAGGCATTTAAATAAACCTGCTTTACATTTCTTCCCTCCCGGTACATTCTGTACCACCAGCTTCGAATGCTGAGGATGGAACAACTTTCAGCTGTGCTTTCGTAAAACTCATTCCTGCCACTCAAACAAAGTAAAAACTTTTTAGATCCTGTTCATTATTTAAGAAAAATATAACAAGCTTACCCATAAAATAAGGCTTTATTAACATTTCTAATCACATCTAGAGGTTTCAAATCAACAAACAAGCTTGATGAACATGAAAGTGGTAATTTAAAAAAGGTGTTTTAACATTCTCTCTCCCTCTATGGGTCCAGCTGCCCCCTCATCTCATCTGTGACTCACGTTCTGCTACCTGCATATATTCAGCCATTTTCCTGTCATCAAACTGGTCTCATAGCCCAGCTGCAGGATTGTTCAGGCTCCTTAAAAATGCCATGTAGGTCATCAGATACCGGGTGACATCCTTTTGTGCTCGCTGCTCCAGCCTCCTGAGATCAGAGCTGCTCCTCCTTCATCAACGGTCTTTATTCATGCATCCAGCATGGTGGGGTTTGACACTTTGGTCATGACTGATGGAGAAGTAGTGGAAATGTGATTAGCTCTTAACAGAAAAGCCACAGTAAGAGGTTTCTTTTGTTACGCGTTTTGGGTTTTAATCTGTTTGTCAACCTGTAATCTTGCATAAAGTGGTAGCCTCCTTACTGTGGCTCACCTAAAATGATAACTTTTTATAGCTGAAGCAGCC